CTTGTTGACATGTTTGCTATGATACCAATTTGTATTCCTTGATAGGTAATTTCTGTTTTTCTTTTAGTCATTTGAAGCATTTTTTTTTTACCATTATACTATTGGAGCTTAAAGGAGAAAGACTCAGATTGAAGCCCAATCTAATAAACTTAGAAATATTCTGAATCTTAGGTTCTTGTCCAGGTCTTTGGAGTCTTTCTATTTGTACATCACAACTTATTTTTAGTAGTTCTGGGAATTTTCTTTGGTGATTTCCTGGAATATTATGTTTAATTTTTTTGTTTTTTTCTAAATTTTATGGGATATTATCAATACTGAGATTGCTGGGTTATGATCTCTGCTCCAGGTCTCTAATTCTTGGGAAAATTCCATGATTTTCTGAGCCTGATTTCCTTCGTTTGGTCTACAGTAACTGTCATTCTGTTTCCCACTGGAGTAAATCTATTGGAGATGATTCTATAGGTTCTCTCAGGTTTTCTATTATGTTCTTTTTATTGGACATTGTCTTCATTATTTTTTCATGATCTTTTCCCCCCTCAGAATTAGAAAATTTTAGATCAATTTCCTTTCTATAATTTTTTACTTTCTTCAATGTCTTCTTTTATTTGATTTTGTAACTTTCTTCCTAGAGTTAATTCTTGCCTAATGTCTTTTAATATAACATCTTGCCACTTGAGGATATCTCTCTAGATATCTTGAGTTCTTTCTTTCTTTTTCTTTTCCATTTGTGTTGTTTCTGGTGCTTTAGCTGATTCAATAGGCATAGCATTTTAAATTATATCAGAATTCTGCTTTGTTCATTTTTATATTTTGGTGGATTTTAAAAATTTATGTGCTTCTTAAGCTCTCTCTCTCTCTCTCTCTGGTGTTTCTCTTTGTAGTTGTTGGTTTCTTTGGAGTGATATTTGGATATCCTGGCTCCCTTCCAACCTATCACTCTGCCACCTTGACTGGAAAATCTATTTATTTTAGACAATATTCTAGCCATTTATCCACAAACTAAGCCTAACAACTCAGAGAAACAGAAAGAACCGTGGAAATGATAGACAGGAATTTGACCCATGATCTACCTAGCTTAAACTGAAAGAGCCAGGACATAGAATCAGGAAATCCAGGTTTGAGTGCTGGCTCTCCTACATACTAGCCATAGACAAGTTTGTCCTTTGAAATCCTATGAAATCACATCTCCTTGCTGAGCCTAGGGCAACAGTTCAGTCATTTTTTCAGTCATGTCTGACTTTTCATGACCCCATTTGGGGTTTTCTTGGCAAAGATAATAGAACGGTTTGCCATTTAATTCTGTAACTCATTTTATAGATGAGGAAGCTGAGGCAAACAGGGTTAAGGGACTTGCCCAGGGTCACACATCTAGTAAGTGTCTGAGGCCAGATTTGAACTCAGGAAGATGAGTCTTCCTGACTCCAAGCCCAGGGCTCTATACATTATGGCACCACCTAGCTCTTTGTGCTATTGACCTCCCAAGACCGTTGCAAGGAATGCACGGTGCATATTTGTATTATTGTTCTATTTTTTAGCAGAAAGAACACTAGACCCCAACATCTAAAGTTTGGTTTGTTGCTCTGCCATTTGTTGGCTGTTGTGGCACTGAACAAACCAGGTTCCTCTTTGAGTCTCTTTCTTCATCTACAAAATGGGAATTAATAATATTTGCTCTACCTACTTCAGAGCACTTTGCAAAATCGTAAAGCATTATGCTAAAGAGCTCATACCCACACTGTCCTGGCAAGGCCAAGCCCAAATCAGGATCTGTCCAAAGGCCATTGAAGAGTTTTTCTCCTGTTCTTATTTAATAATAATAATAATAACAATAATAATAGCATGTCTATAGCACTATAAGGTTTACAAAGTGCTTTCACATTCTCATTTGGTCCTCACAACAACCTGATGAGGTTGGTGCTAATCTTATTCCTATCTTACACTAGAGGAAACAGTCTGAGACAGGTTGAGGGAATTACCTAGGGTCATACAGCTAGTAAGTGTCCAAGGCGGCATTTTGAATTCTGGTCTTCCAAACTCTAAGTCCAACACTCTTATGCACTGTGCCACCAAGGTACTAGTTTTCTTGGGATTCCAGGTAGCAGCTGGAACCTTGAATGCCTTTACTTGAGGTAGGTGCTGGGGCCCTCTGTTGGGAAATGAAGAGCTGCCTTGTCTTTTAGGGAAGGGCATACAAGAAGGATAGAACATTAAGAAATGGGAGCCAGAATACTTTAGAAAATGAGAGCTAGATTATAAAGGATTTTAAATGTCATAGAAAGGAGTGTCTTCTTCATCCTGGAGGCAATAAAAAGTCACTGGGGTTTATTGAGCAGAGGAGAGACATGGTCAGACCTTTAGGAATATCACTTTGGCAGGGGAGTGGAAGATGGGTTGGAAAAGAGAGTTGAGGTAGGGAGACCAATTAGCAGGCTATGGCTATATGGCTATATGGCTATATAACTTTTCCTATGGAAAAGGCTGATGCAGATTGATCATGCTGAATTCTTGGACTAGGGTGGTTGTGATGGGAATGGAGAAAAGGGGACAGATGTCAGAGATGTTGGGAAGGTACAAGTGATGATTTTGCAACTTATCCAATATGGTAGTGAGGGAGAGTTAAGAGGCAAGAATAAACCCCAAGGTCGATAAGTGGGAGGATGGTCATGGTGTCCTCAACACACATAAGGAAGTTAGGAAGAGAGTTAGGTTTGGGAGAAAGGATAACGATTTTTGTTTTGGGTGCGGGAAGTTTGAAATTCCTATAGGACAACTAGTTTATTTTTTATTTTTTTCAGCTTTTATTTAGTATTTTATTTTTTCCCAGTTACATGTAAAAAATATTTTTAACATTTGTTTTTAAAACTTTGAGTTCCAAATTCTCTCCCTGCCTCCCTCCCCAACCCACACTTCATTGAGAAGGCAAGCAATTCGATATAGGTTATACATGCGTGGTCATGCAAAACATATCCATAAAAATCATGTTGTGAAAGAAAACATAGACAAAAAAAACCTCAAGAAAAATGAAGTTTAAAAAAAGTATGCTTCAATCTGTATTCAGACACCATCAGTTCTCTGAGGATGGATAGCATTTTTCTTCTTAAGTCCAGAGTTGTCTTGGGTCATTGTATTGCTGAGAATAGCTAAGTCATCCATGGCTGATCATCTTAGAATTTGCTGTTACTTTGTACACAGTACATTTCACTTTGTATCAGCTCATACAAGTGTGTCTGGTTTTTCTGAGAGAATCTGCTCATCATTTCTTATAGTACAACAGTGTCCCATCATCATCACGTCCCACAACTTGTTCAGCCATTTCCCAATTGATGGGCATCTCCTCAATTTCTAATTCTTTACCCCCAGAAAAGAGCTGCTATAAATATTTTTTACATATAGGTAGGACATCCAGTTTGAAATGTCTTGGAGGCAACTGGTGTTCAGGAAAGAGGCTGCTGTTATCTTCTACGCAGGCAGCAGTAAGCAGCCAATCTTTAATTTTTTGCCTGCTCTTATGAGGGCACATTTTACTTCACATGGAGAGAGGAGGATGGATATAAGGCTGTGGGGTGGTAGAATCAGGGGGACATGGTAAGTGATTGGACATAAAGAGTGAGGGTTGAGGATGACTTTTGAACCTGAGTTTGAAAAGATGGATGGTGGGTGCACTTGACAGAAATGGGGAAGTTAGGGAAAGGAGTGGGTTGAGGGACGAGAGAGACAATGACTTTTGTCTTGGACAAGTAGAATTTGAAGTGCCTTTGGGACTTCCAGGTGGAGATATCCAGCAGGCAGTTGGTGATTCAGGCTTACAGTTCTGGAGAGAGATAAGTAAGGTCTGGATATGCAGATTTGGAAGTCAGTTTCAAAAAGATGATATTTCAATCCACAGGAGTCAATGGGATCATCAAGAAAGAGAGTATAGAAAAAGAAGAAAACAATTCATAAATCAGAACCCTGGGATACAACCACACAAGGGGTGTGGAACATAATTTTTGACTCACCAAAGAGGACTTGAGAAGTTGCCAGACATGTTGGAGAAATACCAGGGGAGAGCAGTGTCACAAAAAAACCCAGAGAGGAGAGATTGTCTAGGAGAAAGACATCATCAACTCTGTTGAAAGCTGCAGAAAGGTTAAAAAGGACAAGGAATGAGAAAAAGCCATTGGATTTAGCATTTAGAAGCTGGGCTGGATGGGATGTCTAAGGATTGTTGAAAGGGATTTGTGAAGCTGTCCTCTCCTGACTCAGGATAGGTGAACTTGCCCCTGGGTTCTGTCACTCACTTCCTAGCTACACAACCTTGAACAAATCACCTCATCTCTTCAGATTTCAATTTTCTCAGTTATGAAATTAGGGGATGGGACAAGATGATCTCTCTTAAGTTTCTTTTAGCCCTAAAACTCCACATTTAAAGGTCCCTTCCAGGTATAAAATTCCATGTTCTAAGATTCCTTCCAGCTTGGACATTCTGTGATGCAGTAACTAGATGATTTGACCAGCTGTGGGAGCTGATGACTGGGTGAATTGATCAAATCTTGTATCATGCCTGGGACCTTAGTCAAATTTTCATTTTTGTTCAGAAAACCGTAAAAACTAACCTTAAAAACTCTTTATCTAGAATCACTGGCCACCAGAGACCAAACTCCTTAGTATTCTAGTTACTTCAGTCTTTGAATGAATGAGTGAAAAGCATTTACCAAGCCCTATGTGCTCAAGCACTGTGCTAAGTATAGAAATATAAAGGAAAGATAGGAAAAAATATAAGGATAGAAACATAAAAATGAGACAGTTCTAAGTTTACTTTCAAATAGAAGGAGACAATACATAAAAGAGAGTGGTAGACAGTGAAGGGCATTTCAATCTGGGAAGTCACAAGGACAGTGGGTGGAATCACAGCGGAGTTGATTGAAGCCTTCTTTTCAGAAGCAGTGGTAGTATTGATTTGATGATGGTTCCCATGGTCTGAGACAATGACAATGTCTACTCTTCTCACTCTTTTGCAGAGCTGGGTGGGAACATCTTATACCATCAGCACCCTGAACTTATTTGACTGGGGACTGGTGTCCCCAGAGGTACTGGAAGTATATGGAGGCTGCCTCACCAAAGGGATCGAGCTGATTGATGCCAATGGGCAACCCAAGATAGACTACTGTGGAATCTGCCCCCCTGGACCCTCCCAGAAAGAAGCTGGATCTTTTGCCTTAGGATCTGGTGAGGGGAAGGACAAATCCTATGGCCATGTGTCCCTTGACACAGTGATGGTGGTTGATGACAAGGAGTCTAGTCAGCTGCACTGTAACTGCAGTCACCAAGCTCAGGATAGATGTGGTGATTGTGGTGGAGATGACAACTACCCCAAGATAAATCTTGATGGTGACCAACCTGATGGACAGGGCTCTGGTGAGCTGCTCTTGGGGAAAGAAGAGAGAATCATCTCCTCTGGCCACGTCTCCATGGAGAGCCCTGGGAGGATCCCAGTCTGGCCAGAAGCCCCAATTGGCAGTATTTTGGAAGCCCTTTGCCTGCATCCTCCAGACGACTGGGATCCAGGGAGTCCTATCTCCCTACCCTCACAGGAAGGGGAGGGTGCTCCCTTTACCCAGGGACCTTACGCACACTTCTCCTGCAGCTCAGAGAGAGAGGCCTTTGGCCACCCACTGGTCAGCTTGGATATGGACACCTTCGACAGTGGCTTTGCTGGTTCTGACTGTGGCAGCCCCTTAGAAAGTGACTTCATGGGGGGCAGTCCAGTGGAAAGGGAAGGCACCTCAGCCCTGGGCACCAGTCACGTTGAGGATGATATCCCAAGAAGTTATGTCAAGCAGTGGGTTATTTCCCCCCCTCCCTCTCCAAGTGCTGGATCACATAACAGTTAGCAAGTTAAGCAGGTCCCAAAACTGAGGTGGGGTCAGCATGGACTAATATGTAAACCTATTGTCACATGTCAACTATTCATACAGCTTTCACTCAGGAAACAAATGTGGCGCATCTTCATCAAACAACTGTAAAAAGAGGACCATGATGGCATACAGTGGACTGAGCTTAATACCCTGTTATTATTTGGTGTCATTCACAGATGGCCTGAGAGGCAGCAGGGCGTAACAGGTGACTCCTTTGAAGTCAAGAAGACCTAAGTTCAAGTCCCATCTCTAACACATTTTGGGTGTGTGACCCTGGGCAAGTCACTTAACCTCTAAGTGCTAGGCAATTCTCTAAAACAAAATGCCAACTTGCATTGGTAAAGGGAGTATCCTCACCTGGGAGTTCCCATTCCCATTAAATCACAGGTTTAATCCCT